ACAGTGGCATCAGGAGCTCTGGCAAAAATACCTTGTCCTGTTGAAGGTAGGATCGCAGTCGGCCAGAGTTTGACCCAAGTAAATGTCAACGTTGTCGTGGTCCTCCATTTTTTGCGCTGTTCTGCTTATTTGTGTTGGTCGTCGGTTGTGGCATTCCTTTAATTGATTTTCATGGACCATTGTTTTTATGTGACTGTGTGTGTGTGTGTAAAATTTGTCACCTTCTTTTTAATGAAATTTTACATTAATTACAATACAGACATAAGTGGATTAATATTTTATTATTATTGCATAAATATTTTATGCGGATGGAAAACTTAATAAAGGCCATTTGTAGACAATGTATGCCAGTGTCATCTAGAGGAAAAACGAAACTTTAGATCTAGACTAAGGAAGATGAAGTGATCTTGCGTAGACAATAGGAGACATCTACATCTTCTATATAAAAAAGAAGATCCCAATATTCTCCATAGGTAATATAAGAATTTAAGAACCTCTACAAAATATTGAAGGCCACATGGTCTTCTATGGGCAAAAAAAACATCTTTCAATATATTTTATAGACCATGGCAGGACTCGAGGTCTTCCACGGACCTCAAGGTCTTCAGTGGAGAAAAGAAGGCCTCAAAGTCTTCAATGGAGAGTAGAAAACCTCAGGGTTTTCTATAGACAGTAGAAGACCTCAGGGTCTTCTGTAGACAGTAGAAGACCCCTGGGTCTTCTATAGACAGTAGAAGACGCCTGGGTCTTCTATAGACAGTAGAAGACCCCTGGGTCTTCTATACACAGTAGAAGACCCCTGGGTCTTCTATAGACAGTAGAAGACTTCAAGGTATTTTATGTAGAGTAGAAGACCTCAAGGTCTTCTATAGACAGTAGAAGACCCCTGGGTCTTCTATAGACAGTAGAAGACCCCTGGATCTTCTATAGACAGTAGAAGACCTCTGGGTCTTCTATAGACAGTAGACGACCTCTGGGTCTTCTATAGACAGTAGAAGACCTCAGGGCCTTCTATAGACAGTAGAAGACCTCAGGGTTTTCTATAGACAGTAGAAGACCTCAGGGTCTTCTATAGACAGTAGAAGACCTCAGGGTCTTCTATAGACAGTAGAAGACCCCTGGGTCTTCTATAGACAGTAGAAGACCTCTGGGTCCTCTATAGACAGTAGAAGACCTCTGGGTCTTCTATAGATAGTAGAAGACCTCAGGGTCTTCTATAGACAGTAGAAGACTTCAGGGTCTTCTGTAAACAGTAGAAGACTTCAAGGTCTTCTATAGACAGTAGAAGTCTTCAGTGACTTCTATAGACAGTAAAAGTCTACAGGGTCTTCTATAGACAGTAGAAGACTTCAGGGTCTTCTATAGACAGTAGAAGACTTCAGGATCTTCTATAGACAGTAGAAGACCTCAGGGTCTTCTATAGACAGTAGAAGACCTCAAGGTCTTTTATGTAGAATAGAAGACTTCAAGATCTTCTATGGACAGTAGAAGACTTCAGGGTCTTCTATGGACAGTAGAAGACTGCAGGGTCTTCAATAGACAGTAGAAGACCCCTGAGTCTTCTATAGACAGTAGAAGACCCCTGGGTCTTCTATAGACAGTAGAAGACCTCAGGGTCTTCTATAGACAGTAGAAGACCTCAGGGTCTTCTATAGACAGTAGAAGACCTCAGGGTCTTCTATAGACAGTAGAAGACCCCTGAGTCTTCTATAGACAGTAGAAGACTTCAGGGTCTTCTATAGACAGTAGAAGACCTCAGGGTTTTCTATAGACAGTAGAAGACCTCAGGGTCTTCTATAGACAGTAGAAGACCCCTGGGTCTTCTATAGACAGTAGAAGACCTCTGGGTCCTCTATAGACAGTAGAAGACCTCAGGGTCTTCTATAGATAGTAGAAGACCTCTGGGTCTTCTATAGATAGTAGAAGACCTCTGGGTCTTCTATAGATAGTAGAAGACCTCTGGGTCTTCTATAGATAGTAGAAGACCTCTGGGTCTTCTATAGATAGTAGAAGACCTCTGGGTCTTCTATAGACAGTAGAAGACTTCAGGGTCTTCTATAGACAGTAGAAGACCTCAGGGTCTTCCATAGACAGTAGAAGACCTCAGGGTCTTCTATAGACAGTAGAAGACCTCAAGGTATTTTCTGTAGAGTAGAAGACCTCAGGGTCTTCTATAGACAGTAAAGACTTCAGAGTCTTTTATGAAGAGTAGAAGACTTCAGGGTCTTTTATGTAGAGTAGAAGACTTCAGGGTCTTCTGTAGACAGTAGAAAACTTCAGGGTCTTCTATAGACAGTAGAAGACTTCAGGGTCTTCTATAGACAATTGAAGACCTCAGGGTCTTTATAGACAGTAGAAGACCTCATGGTCTTCTATAGACAGTAGAAGACCTCAGGGTCTTCTATAGATAGTAGAAGACTTCAGGGTCTTCTATAGAAAGTAGAGGACTTCAGGGTCTTCTATAGACAGTAGAAGACCTCAGGGTCTTCTATAGGCAGTAGAAGACCGCAGGGTCTTTTATAGGCAGTAGAAGACCTCAAGGTCTTCTATAGACAGTAGAGAACCTCAAGGTCTTCTTTAGACAGTAGAAGACCTCAAGGTCTGCTATGAAGAGAAGAGGACCCCAAGGTCTTCTATGGAGAGTAGAAGAAATCAAAGTCTTCCATGAAGAGTAGAGGACCTAAAGGTCTTCTATGGAGAGTAGAAGACCTTAAGGTCTGCTATGGACAGAAGAAGACCTCTAGGGTCTAGAAGACCTGAAGCAGCAGCTAGCAGATATGGGACAAGGATACCTACCAGAAGATTTACTTGTCAAATGGCCACCACATACGTATAGGGCACATATACCTCGTCAGAAATATCCCAACGAACAATTTTGTCTTAAGTCGTGGGATTTTTATTCAGAGGCCTGTTAACCGAATATTTACAAAAACTGCAGTCTATAGAAGGGGGATGCCTTACAGAAAGGTCCTCTACTTCTACAATTTAATATAGGTGTGTTCATTTTATTTAAGGATACCCTCCAGGCACCTATTTCCTTATTTTGTTTTCTATTTTTTCAAGGATTTCTATAGAATTCCCATAGATATGAGACAATGATACCAGAAGATTTCCTTGTCAAATGGCCACCACATACGTATACAGCAAATATACCACGTCAGAAATATCCCAGCGACAAAAAATTGTGTTAAATCATGGGATTTTTACCTAGTGGCCCATTTAGGCGAATATTCACAAGAGATGTGGTGTCGAGAAGGAAACAGAAAAGTAGTCTATTTCCATAAGTTCATATATATATGCCCCTTTTATTGAAGGATACCCACCTCTCACCTATTTCGTATTCATCTATACTCACAGAATTATCACAGAATCCTTATTTTTATACCCTCCACCATACTATGGAGGATATATTAACTTTGTCATTCCGTTTGTAACTCCTCGAAACACTCATGTCAGACCCAACAAAGTATATATATTCTTGATCAGCGTAAAATTCTAAGTCGATTTAGACATGTCCATCTGCCTGTCCGTCTGTCCGTCTGTCCGTCTGTCTGTTGTAATCACACTATCTTTCGAACAAATTGAGATAGAAGGCTAAAATTTTGCACACGTGTTTATTTTTCCAGTAGGCAGGTTAAGTTCGTAAATGGGCCATGTAGGTCCACGTTTTCATATAGCCCCCATATAACGGTACCTCCCGATATTCGGTATTTTGGTGATTTTAGCGACATTATTCACCGGAATTGTTTCAACTTTGGTATTTGAAGTTCGAAATGGATACTACAGCCTATGACAGAAAATTATCTGGGCAGGAACACGTCTTCGTATAGCCCCCATATAACGGTACCTCCCGATATTCGGTATTTTGATGATTTTAGCGGCATTATTTAAACGGAATTGTTTCAAATTTGGTATTTGAGATTCGTAATGGATACTACAGCCTATGACAGAAAATTGTCTGTGTTGGTCCACGTCTTCGTATAGCACCCATATAACGGTACCTCCCAAAATTCGGTATTTTGATGATTTTAGCGTCATTATTCACCGGAACTGTTTCAACTTTGGTTTTTTGAAGTTCGAAGTTATCTGGGCAGGTCCACGTCTTCGTATAGCCCCCATATAACGGTACCTCCCGATATTCGGTATTGTGATGATTTTTGCGACATTATTCACCGGAATTGTTTTAAATTTGGTATTTGAAGTTCGTAATGATTACTACAGCATAAGGAAAAAAATTGTCGGTGCAGAATCCACGTCTTCGTATAGCTCCCATATAACGGTACCTCCCTATATTCGGTATTTTGATGATTTTAGCGGCATTATTCAACCGGATTTGTTTCAAATTTGGTACTTAAGATTCGCAATGGATACTACAGCCTATGACAGAAAATTATCTGTGCAGGTCCACGTCTTCGTATAGCCCCCATATAACGGTACCTCCCAAAATTCGGTATTTTGATGATTTTAGCGTCATTATTCACCGGAATTGTTTTAATTTACGTATTTAGAGTTCGTAATGGGAACTACAGTCTGTGACAGAAATTTGCCTATGCAGGTCCAGGTCTTCGTATAGGCCCAAATATATCAGTACCTCCCTATTTTCGGTATTTTGACGAGTTTAGGTACAATATCCACCGAAATTGTTTGAGATGTCGTATTTGACGTTAGTAATCGATGCTATAGCCGTGACAGAAAATTGTCTATGCTGGGCCAAGTCTTCGCACAGCTCCGATACAACGGTACCTCCCTATATAAGATATTTTGATGATTTTAGCTACATTATTCACCCTTTATTTCCTATGTAGGTCCACGTCGTATAGACCCCAATATAACGGCTATATTCGGTGTTTTTAAAATTTTAACAGAATGTTTTAAGGATTTTATTTTTTGAAAATTTCCAAATACGTTCCAAATGGTGGAGGGTATTCAAAGTTCGGCCCGGCCGAACTTGCTGCTTTTTAAGTTATTGTTATTTCTTTTCTTACAGTTCCCTATGAAAATGTTCGCTGGGTTCATAGGAAGACAAACTTCATTCCATCTCATATCATTTTTCAAACCATAATATTTGCATAAATGTTACAGGATGCAATAGAAGAGAAGGATGGCTGAATGGCGTTTGTCCAAAGGATACCCAAAACGGAGATGACAAACTATCAACACAACACCAAGGAAGGTACAATGACAACATTTCCTTCAGAGAAATACCCAAACGTGAAGGTATGTCCGTCCGCCTCTGACTGCCTGCCTTTGTGTACGGCAATATAAACGCCGGCCAAGATACGGAAAAATAGAGAAGTCTACTTTAAAACGTTTAAGTATGACAATGATTGACATTGAATGTTCGGCAAGGAGCAGGAGGAGAAGGTGGAAAGATGCCAAAGGGGAATGCTGGTATGCTACACAGTTGGCAGGATACTCGTTTATATATTACGCAACACTTTTGACTTGATAGCTAAATGGCTGTTAACGCTTTCATGAATAGCTGTGTATAGGGTTCCTTTTTTTTTGTTCGTCCCATTCGCTGCCAGTTGCCCTTCATTGTCGTTGAGTTCGTTTGTTGAGCAGAGTACGAGTATAACTTAACTCAAGTGCACTTTTCATGTCATTTCCGGTTAGTTGGATATGTCCATAGCCCAAAGCCAATTACAATTGCGTTTATATATTGTGTGTATGTGTGTGCGTGTGTGTGTGACTTGTGTGCATACTTACCCACACACCATAAACGTCCTTATCTCTGTCATCATCATCATCATCTTCTTCTACTTCTTTACTGAGTAAATATATATTTTGTTATTGACTTAAGTCAATATTGAAGTTAAGTGTAGTAGCCTGCAGAGAGATAATGGAAATTTCTGAAAAGTTGACTTATTTATCGTTTGACAACCATTGGACATATCTGTGTGTGAAAGTAAGAGATAAGCGGAAAATGATATATCGAGATGCAGGGAAAATTTTATACAAACATAATATGTATGGAAGACAAGACAAGCCAAGAAGTATTCTATCAAGAAAATATATGGGATTTTAAAGAAGGACTACTTCTTCTAGAGATTCGATAGGAATACTTATATACAGGGTGAGATAAAAAAACTGCAAAACAAAGTCAAACGCCATAATTTCTACAATTTTTTTAATGTTATTTAATGAAAGCTAAAAATGTCGGAAATAGCATCAAATTTTAGAATATGTTTAAATTTGTTCCATTTGGTCACCTCGGCACGAATTATGGCATTCAAACGGCCAATGAAACTGCCACACGCTGCCCGAATGTTGCTCTGCTGTAATTTGACCCATTCCGGCGAGGCGCTTGCTTGAGGTGATCGACGCTTTGGTACTTTTTAGTGACAACTTTGCTTTTCAAAATACTCTAGACACAATAGTCCAACGGATTGGTATCCGTAGATTTTGGTGGCCATTGTGCGCTGGAAATGAAGTGAGGCACCTCATTTTGTAACCATTCTTGGGTGGCGCGTGCTGAGTGTGATGGTGCTGAGTCCTGTTGGAATGTCTAAAGTCTGCGGCCAAAATGTTTGCGTGCTCAAGGCTTTAATACACCCTCCAGAATATTTTGACGTTAATATTCGGCACTTATTCGGATGTCACGGTCGGAGAGCGAGCATCGGCTGTTATGGCGGCCCATGCCATCACCATGGCCCGCGCTTGAGTTCTAGTGGCCAACCGAAGGTGCACATTTTCAGCTGACCCCATTTGCAAATAAAAACGATCATTTTGTTTGTTTACAAACTGCTGGACAACGAATGTTTTCTCATCGGAGGAAACCAAATTCGACAGTTCACAACTTTCGGCCAAACGAAGCAACTCTTTAGCTCTTTTCTTTCAGCTGCGGTGTAAGTTTTTGCACTTTTTGGAATTCCAATGGCTTTACCCCGAGCTAATTTTTCAATATTTGCAGCATAGAATATTGCGATATGTTCAGCTCACGAGTCATTTTTCGGCCATTGCGAGGCGGGTTTCGATCAAGTCGCTTATTTACTTTTCGAACCATTTCTGCTGATGTTGCTGCTTTCTTCCCTCCACTCCCTTGACGTCGGTCTACGCTACCAGTAACAGTATCACGGTAACTAGTGATGGTACGAGATACAAAAGATTTATTCACATTTAAATGCTGCGTGCTCTAACGATTACCACTTGTGATTTTCCAGCCAAATATAAAGAAATCACACTATCACGCTGGAATTCCATCACGAATAACTTTTTTTTCTGGAAAACTCTCTCCAAAATGCTTCTGTACGCTTGTAAACCATATAATGAGCTGTCACTGGAATAATTTTAACAGCTATTGGACGAGTGGCTGAGAAATGACAGCAGTCTGAAGTTGATTGCAGTTTTTTATTCTCACTCTGTAGATTTTTCATGTAATTCGTCTAGCAGACAACGGCCCAATTTATTACGAAACCAATACACCCATTTACCTCCGAACCGATCTGGTTATATCGACTTTTATGTCATTTTTGAAGGATAGTCAAGGCTTCAATCGTAGATTTTTAAAGTATATTTTTATGCGACCATCACAGCTCTATTCGTGAATCAAAGCTACAATTGTTGATTTTTAGAGGTTCTCTTTTTAATGGCACTCAGGTTTTTAGGCGTGCCTTCTTGAAGAATAATCATGGTCATAACCATGGAGTTTAAAAGATTTTTTTAGAAAAAAAGGATTGACTCGAGCTACAAAAAATATTTTTGGATATAGAAATCGTGCTAAAGTGCCCTCTTCAAACTGTATTCCAAGGCCTCTCCTATTCACAGAAGATTATGTAACATATTTTCTTCTGATTAGAATCCATATAATACACATTTTTTAGAAGGAATTTCGGGACCTGTCTCTCAGATTTTTTTTACTTAAAATATATTCCCTGACTTTTTTTCGAGTAAAATAATATTAAAAAAGCCCTTCCTTAAAATTGATCTTTACTATTGAACCCCTTTCAATTGATTCTCTGTTGACTTCCAATTTACCCCTGATTTCCATTCCAATTATCGGCAGATAAACATTTGAATTTTGCTCCCGGTTCCAATGACTGTTTCTGTTTTTTAATTAATGGTATTTAGCATTTCCATTTTATTGTCGTTTTTCTTTTTTTTTTTTTTTTTTTTTTGCTACCCCAACATTGGTTCGTCCTTTCAACCATTGCTGGCTGGCATCTTTACACCGCGAGGTAATATTTCAATTGTGTTACAAATCTGCTATTATGGCTTTTGAACAAAATCCATTCTCCTCATCCTACCAGTGCTCGAATAAGCTTTAACTGGCGCTGGGCACTCCCATTTGCTTGGTCATTATGCTTTGCACCATTAAATATGTTTTACTCTAAAACGATGAAAGGATTTAGCCCTAAGTCATCCGTACCAAGCGCCTGCTATTTCTGCAGCTCCTGCAATTGCCAGCGAATGCTTTAAGTGAGATAGATAATGTATTTTGGATATTGGAGTGGAATGACGGGATGTTGTTTACAAATACACAATCAGAAAAAAATATTTGGGAATTTTTAAAAATCGACAAAAACATGCGATGTGTTCAGCATTAATATCATCTGTTAGAAGGAAGATCTAAATGGTATCTTGATTTTATAAATTATATAGCTGACTTTAAAACACCTAGAATTAGGAATAACCCTTACATGGGCCATATCTCAAATATCTTGATTGCGTTTTTTTTTTTTTTTTTTTTAAATAAAAAATATTTTTGTAGCATGACCAGGGCTTTAGCTGTGATTTTAACACTATTTTTAGAACCATTACTGACAGCTTCAGTCGTTTTTTTTTTTTTTTTTTTTTTTTTTTGAAGGATACTCGCTATAATATATCGTGGATTTTTAAAGAATATTTGTGTAGATATATCTTGGCTATTATCACAAATTTTGCTATGATTAATTTTGGAAGAATAATCAACGATTGATGCGGCTGTTTTTAAAGAAAAAAATTAAAAATAATCACAGCTTAATCCATATTCAATTTTGGGTTCAAAAAAATATATTTTATAGGACCATCACAATTCAACTCTTGAATTTTTTCGGGGATAATAAGAGTTCTTGTTGTGAATTAAAAAAATAATGATTTTTTAAAGGCCAATCCGGAATATAATCAATTTTGGATTTTTGAAGAATATTTTCAAAGAAATTTTTTGAAGGATAATCATAGCATCAGTAGTGGATTTTTAAATAATATTTAAAAAAATAATCAGGGATTTAATCAATCTTTAAAAATTGTTGCTTTTATTTGTGGATTTTCAAAGAATATTTTTGTAGGACCATCACAGCTCTAGTCCTTGTACTTAAGGATAATAAAGTCTATCATTAATCGTGATTTTTTTAAAAAATATTTTTGTAGGATGATCAGGGCTTTATCTGTGGATTTATAAAGAACTTTTTAGGACCACTTTTGTTGATTTTTTTTAATTTATTTATTTAATATTTTATTTAATTTTTTTTTTATTATTATTTTTTTTTAAGTATGGTCAAGACTATAGAAAATCGTGTATTTTAAAGAATATTTAAAGAATAATCATGGAGAATATTTTTGAAGGCCTTCGATCATGGGCTTAAAAAACATTTTTATAGGACCATCACAGCGGATTTTTAAAAAAAAATTTAAGGATTGTTGTAGAATAATTAGGGCTTGAGATATAGATTTTAAATACAGCTATAATCGCGGAGGATAATCAGAACATCAGTCGTAGATTTTTTTAAGAAACTTTTCGAAGGATAATAAGATCAGTCAGTCCAGGATTTCTAAAGAAATTTTTTGCAAGGTAACCAGGGCTTTAATCGTTGATTTAAACAAGTAAGCAAAGGCTACAGTCGAGCGGGGCCGACCGTTGAATACCCTACAACACTATAATAAACGATACAGTTTATATAGGCGAGATACTCGAAAGAATTCCACAAGATATTGTGACAAATAATAAAAGAAAACCATCAGGTTTTGTTCTCTAATTTTCGAATAATAGCAACTTTAACTAATTTGCTCATTTCCAATTTATTGGTAGATGTTGCACGTAAATGGTCTTCCTAGATCTGGAACCAATATTTCCCAAAGAACTATAATCTCTCAGAAGTGGTAAATTATGAACATTTATTATTGGTTTTTGACTGAAACGCATCTATATGAGATACAGACATTTGACTATATTCTTCAACGAAATCAGCGTTAACG